CCCACCCACTTAAATCATGTCCACATGGATATGAAACTAAATACATTTGCACACATCTTGTGTCCATATCTTTCTGTGCATGAATGCGCGGGTCATGGTCAAATATCTGGATTAAGACGTTGCTTCTTCTGTGCACAGCATGAAAGAAAGGCGACATGAATGGGCTTTGATTTGAGTTTTTTAAGCAGACGTTGAGTTCAATAATTTGTACGGCCCTCGAAGGATGTTGTAAAAATTGAAATGGCCCTTGAGAGGAAAAAGGTTCCCCACCCCTGATTTAAAGTGAAGTGGACAGATTAGTGTAACTCACCTTGGGTGTTTGACTTCTTTCCTTCAGTTATGTCCAGAGGCTTTTTCTTGTTTTAAAATCAAAGAACAAGATACAGCTGTTAATTTCTGAAATGATGGTTTGACAGAGACAGTGTATTGTCCATCTAAACCTTGAAAATATGTCAGTCACCTCATAGTGTGTCACGTATGGGACTTTTATTTGCAGCCAAATTCTAGAAAAAATCTCTCATGTGTAGCTCATCCCTTTCTCCATGCATGCTGGGATATAAAGATGCTCACAGCTTCTGTACAGTGTCCTGATCCATGTGACAAACCTCCGGGAGTGATACATGATACATGTTTTGAGCTGGGTGTTGATCAGGTGGTATTTTGTTGCAGGATCTGTCGGGGAAGGAGCAGGAGAAGGTGGCTGCAGTGAGCCGGGTGAAGGTGGAGCTGCAGGAGCAGATCGGACACCTACAGGCAGAGAGGACGGCTCAGGGGGGCCTGAGGGAGAAGATCAGCGCTCTGGAGAGAGAGATCAAAGGTGCACACCACTCTTTCAGAGCTTCCACACAAAGAGAAGTACATTTCTTCAAATGAAATGGTTTCTTATTGTATCTTTATTTGTGTGATTTATTTCAGGTTAAATACATATTTTGTATGTTTCTACAAGTTACTTAAAACCAGTGTTTATATCGTTAATAAAAGATATACATTTGGTTTAAAAAAAATATTTAGTACTATTTAGGTTTTTTGTCACCATTTAGCTACACTTCCCATCTCTCGGTCGCTTTTCATCTCAAACACAACCACACATGGAGGAGCAATACTGAATTGCAATCATCCAACTGGTGTATCTTATCCGATAATGTGCAATAAGTTTGACTCGTGGCAAAAAGAATGTCTTTGGTTTGACAAGATTGAAATGTTCAATATATTATGGTGACTGAAAAAGGACATTGGACATAGGGTTCCACCATGAAAACAAAAGACAATTCATTTCAAAGTTAGCTGATATGTAAATACTTTTTGGCATCTTAAAATGGACTCAAATTATTTGAGTTTAAATATTATAACGTTGCAGCATAAAGGAAGACTGCTTGAAACAAAGCAGATTAACCCAGGTCCAGTTTTTCCCTTTTTCAATTAAAAAGACACTTAACTTCAGAATGTAATGTATTTAAAATGCATCATGTGTGTAAATATGAAATATGTTCTTTATTTTCACACCATTCTCCCTCTGTGCTTGCTGTCCTGCAGTGCTCAGCAGCAGCCACAGAGAGGTGCTCCTGGACAAAGAGAGTGAGATGTCCTCCATGCTGGAGAAGCTCCGTCTGAAGGAGTCCGAGATCCAGAGGATGAGGGAGGACGAAGCAAACCGAGCCAGCTACCTGCAGTCCGCCATCCTCACATACGTCCAGGGCTCGCCTCTGGGACACTACAGCAGCCCCAAGAAGTGACCCCCAGACCACCTCTGAGTCCTCAGGACCGTCTGCAGAATACAAATAAATCGTTATTGTCCTGACATGAAACATTTGGAAAACTCTGAAGAATCATGAGTGTTCTGGGACATTGGTGCGGGGCCATATGACTGTGAGCTGTAAACATACTGTACCTTACACAATGTGCAGACCCAGTCATGAAAGGGTTACAAAGTCTACTGGCACCACATCCAGGATGTTCAGAGGATATTCATGGTCCCCAGTGAAGGAATATGACATTTTTAGATCTCTATTTGGTAAATCAATGAACTTTTAAGTCTTTTGATCCATCTACCCTTTTATTGTGTAAAAAAACTTGCCAGCTGGATGAGATTATTACCTGTTTCAAAATACCGTGTTTTTATCCTTCTACAGGTTAAGCGTCAGGTTTGATTCATTACTCTAAACATCAAAAAAGGAAAAAGGGGTCTTATTTCTCCCAAGTACCTTTAACTGTCTAGAGGTGCAAGAAGGGTGTAGAGCCTTCAGTAAAGTCTGTCTTATAACAAAATTCTGGATCCGAGACTAAAAACCACTTATATTTGAATTGCTTTGACCACAGCCCTGTCTTAATGCTCTACATGTTCTTGTATCATTGCCAACACATGCCGTCTCTCGTGTCTTTAGCTCTCCCATTAACTCTGTGTAGTGTACTGTCCTTCAAATGGATCGTGCGTCAACATTTCCATCTGTTTGCAGCCAATTGTGTTCCTTATTCTTCTTCTCTCCAGTCTAAATGAGTTTAAGACATTCCAGTGTTTACATACAGATTGAGATTTGCTTCAAATATGCCTTAATATGTTGTTATCATATCTGTCACACCAGAGGCTGCCTCTCTGCAGTTCAGATATAGAGCATTACACTGATTCACAACATGTCTGTTGTTTTTACTAATGATTTCATGAAGGAAGTCTGTCAAATTGAACTCCTGATTCAGCCTTTTTGACAAATTGCTGTTTTATATCTTCATATTGTTTCAGATATATTTGAAGGTGCTTTTACCATTTTTACATATCATCTAAATGTGGTAGTTTCTGAACTAAATCTCTTGATTTTCTTAATGTGTGCATAATTTAGCAGTTGATCTAGATTAGTCTATAATGCCATTCAACATTTAACAGTACACTAGTCAGTGTGTTGTGTGTTAGTGGGGTGGGGATGTATGAGGTCATTGGGTCTTTGAATTACTGCCAAAGATATTTTACTGTCAAGATGGTTCAGGCCCATTTAAAACCATTGATATTCACTATGGAGGAACCTTCACCGCCTTATGGGATCATCATACAAGTGTATCGCATTGGTAGTTACATTTAAAACACTAATACATATCCCGGAATATGCTTACTTATTTATATATGATTTAAAAATTAAGAAATGTAAAACACAATCCAGTCATATAGTAGTACAATAACAACACTTTATATTCGTTTTTTGTTATAATTAATATTATTATAAATGGTGGTTTTAAAGGGTTTAATCAGGAACAGTTGTATTGCCAAGTAGGTTTACACTTACGAAGAATTTGCCTTCGTTTATGGTGTACACATAAACACAGTCAAAGAAGATCAATTGTAAGAAAAACAACTAAAAAATTTTAACTATTATGAAAAACTATTTTAACCGTAAGGATAGAGGCTGAAATAGAAAAGTTGGAAGATTAAAAAATCCAAACCCTTTCCAAAATAAATGCCATCTGCACAAAAAAACTGCCTCAATAATCTAGAAAAATACAAGCAAACATGTCCCGCACTCTCGGCTAAGGCACAAAAGAAAAACGGAAGCGGAAGTGCAAGGCGTGTATCATCTCTTTCTCTGCTGGGATGCTTATTTTCTGTGGTCTGTCTCTTTAAAACACTCGGTAGTTTCCGGAGCTTTTCGCTGCTACTCGTCATCGACCCCTTTCACTGCGGCTCCATCGCCGAGCGGACTGGCCCGCTGCTCTCATCCGAGACCTCAGTGCAGACCGTCGGATCCGCTAAAGCACCAACACCGGCTCCCTGAACGTGTCCAGCTCCTGTAAACATGCAGGCTATCAAATGCGTGGTGGTGGGCGACGGGTAAGAGCACGCGCACACACACATGAACAGCAGCACGTCGTTTTTATGTGTGATTCGGTGAAGCGTCCATGGATGGATGGGTGATGGGAGGATGCTATGTAGGAAAAGGGGCTGGGGCTCACCGAGCGGTCGGTCGCCCTGTTTGTTCTGCTCCACACCCCTCCTCCCGGGTCGGCTTTGTGGTCGCATCGGTTCGATCGCATCGTGGCCCTTCCGTTCATTGTGGCGGTCGCGGCGGATGCGGGAACACCTACACGCCTCGTAGGCCACTGGAGGCAGGCTGAAGTGCTGATGCACGCTGAGGAATTTGTGGCCCTGTCACTGAAACAGGCCCCGCTGTCCCCATTCTGCTCACACTGAGCCTTTCTTACTGCAGCCAGAGCCCGTTCAGCTGCATGGGGGCGCACATTTGCAGCAGGGTGTTCTGCACTGCTTCTGATATCAATGCTATGCATAGATTTAGACTGAGGAAAATCAGCCATTAGTGTCAATTGTGAGAAAAAAATAGGCCTTGTCTGAGTCCTGCTTATTATGATGTATGTCAGAAAGCTGGAACTAAACAGAATTGACTTTTAGAAATGCATTAGACTGCCAGTGTTTGAATATCCATACTGTATATGACATATTGGCAAAATGTGAATTCTTAAATTTCATAAATCCCTTAAAGGAGCCTCTGATGGCACACGTCAAGCTCAGTGATTCTTCATGGGGAGTACTGCTCAGCTGCCTCTGGAGAGAGATTTACTAAAGCATTGGAAAACCTGATGTCATCATCTTGGATTTGCAAACTACACATTGACAACAGAAAACCTCCATTACAAACAACGAGGAGGGTCCAAATATCCAAAACAGGCCTTATTAGAGAAGACATTTTGACCATTAATTATCTATAAAAAGGGAACGTAGCCATCCATGAAGTCACCCATTGGTTGGTGGACCATCGTTTTGAGCTATGGTTTTGAGCCTAGAGTTTGGTATTTGGGCGTTCGCCGTTTTGTTTTGCTGCAGTCAGAGGTGACAAGAGGGTGGAGCTGGGCAGGGAAACGCACTGCTACGACTCTCTAATGATTGACAGCTCAGTGTGGTAGGGCCTGTCAATCATAAGGTAGATATGCCTTCAAGCATACTCTTAATGGGACCATATTTTACAGAAAAACCATCATGCTGTGTTTAAGAAGACTTCAAGACCATCAACTCTTTATGATAATGTTTAATGAGGTAATAAATCAAGTGAGGCATTTACTCATAGACCTCTATTCAATCAGCCCACCAAAGGGGAAAATGCAAGTCCTTCGCATTGGCTTTTTTTTTGGCTTCGTCCACTTCTTTTATAGAGCATGTGACAGTAGGAAAAGCACAGGAGTAAATGATGAAATTTAAAGACTGTTCAATTCCATTTAGCTGTTTCAGTTTCATGTGCTATTTGTCATGTTGTCACACCGTCATGGTTTAGTGTGTGTGTGTGTGTGTGTGTGTGTGTGTGTGTGTGTGTGTGTGTGTGTGTGTGTGTGTGTGTGTGTAATTTCTCTTAATCCCTTTTTTAGAAGAAAATAAGAAAAGTAAAATCAAGGTGCACCAAACATTCTTAACCATCCTAATCTGGTCCTAACCAGAAGTGATGAATCGTGAATCCTACTTGATCCTAAATTGAAGGCGTGTGGCAGATTGTTTATTATTAGAAAAGGAACTTAACCAAAACACGCCCAAGTATTAGAGAGGTGCCACACAAAGACTGTAGGAGGAAGAACAAGTGAACATGTGATTCTGTGTCATACTGGCAATAAAGGAACATCATAAAGCTTAAGCCTTCATATGCAAACAATATCATCCTCCTGTGATTCATTTGGATGAATGGACAAATAGTATCTCTTTTAACAATACAGTCATTTTAATGACTGAAAAGATTTACATTTAAACATTTTTTTTAAATGTTCCTCAAATTTGAAAACATGGTGCCTCACGTTGGACAAACCATTGGTGAACTGTGAACATGCCATGTTTTTCTCTTATCTCATTAAGAGTACTGCAACATCTTGCAGGAAACAGTGTCTGAGGGCATGTTCATTTAATAAACTATGAATGTTTTATATCCATGTAACGGGAAGAAACCAAGCGGCAAACTCTGGGGAAGAGCCGGGACGCCAATGCGGAAGTACCTCAAACTGCAGTTCATCTAGTGGCCAGTAGGAGCAGTCTGCAGAAGGGAGCAATTTCCATAGACCCCAATGTTAAAATGCCCAACTTTAGAGCAGAATTAAACATGTTTACATCGTGGTTCAAAAAAACATATTCTCTGTATAGTTAGATCCCCCCTTCATGAATATGGATTGGGGGGGTGAATTTTTTCTCAAGTCATCTGTTTAATTAATATTAAGCCTTAAAGCGTTTGCATAAATTAGGGTGTGGTCACTTTGATGGACATGTACAGATGTAGCACTTAATTTCAGACTCCAGCTTACAGCTTCCTGCCTACGACCTGCCTAAAACCAGTATAGAG